TACTAGTCTAGGAAACGTTTTTATCATTCAGAGAAATTGAGATTAATGAAATAAGAATTAATGGCTGGGAGTTGAAGCCAGTCAAATGCACAACAGAAGTTAGGAGGAAACTGAGTGAGAATTAGTTACAATCAGAACTATCAGGGAAAGTGGTCTCTTGATATCCTTAAAGAACAGAAGGTATACTTCAGACAAAAATAAAGTTACTAGATGATTATCACCTCGGTCTCTCTATGCAGCCTCTCAAGTCTCAACTCTGTGAATTTACATTGTTGCATGCACATGTAAACCGCCTGCTATGTGATCTTACTCGCGTGACTGCGTTTTTGCAGAAGGTAGTTAACATTTATTTGAATCTTATCAAGTAATGTTGCCCTACATCAATGGGCATACAGCGTCCACTTTCAGTTACAGCCTGCCCTCAGGCACTGAAGGATACAAGTTCTTGTTATATACGCTCAGTCTTCCTCTTAGAAAATGCCTGTCTGGCTTCACAGATCTACAAAGGGAAATGTCCAAGAGACTACCAGTTTCCAGGAATACAATAGTTTTCAAAGTGGACTTGAATGAATCAATGAAAGGGTTTTTTTTTGTCTTAATAAACAGCTGGATATCCTTGATCAAGATAACTGTGGCATACTCTTTACTAATCGGTACATTTTTGCAGGACAGATGAAGCAGCACCTAACAAATGTAACCAAAAGTTTGTATCACGTAGTAGGGTGGACTAGCTTTCGTGACAGCGTATCAATTAAAAATACTTGTGGCAATGAAAAACCTAATGGATTTGAAATTGTAGAAGAAGCTATCCAGTATTTAGTTAATTAATCTCAAAATAGTGGTGCGATTTGAAGTATTCGGACAATTATAATCTAAAAAATTATTGTATATCGTGCATTCCCATCCAGCATTGACATTCTTGGCCTTAACAATAAAAAATACTGTTTTTCTGAAAGAAGTCTCATTTCTCTCTTTTTCTATGAAAATTGTCAGCTTGCAGCCATTTTTCCATTTCAACGTTTTATAAATTGGATTTTTTCCTTCTTAAGAAAGGATGGCATGTGATCTAATGGGAGTAGATCAAACTACAACTTTATTTCAGTTCCTAGAAGCAAATCTTGACTTCTTACATTAAAGAATTCCCCTTTTTCCATCTTCAGTAGTTTTCATTGCTTTCCTTCAAAATATCTTGGATTTTTCCCAGGTATGGTTTAATTGAAAGGGAATTCATTTCTCCTCTGTTTCCCCTATATTTGTACATTGCTCCTAATAAATGCAGCAGGCTGACACATACTGAAGCAGTAAGCTTTTCCCCACTCCTATTTAAGGAAATGTTACTCCTGTTTAAATGTTTTCTTCCTCATTTATTGTCTTACTGGGATGCAGAGTGACACCCCTTAGAAACGGATGCTCGGCAACTTTCCTGTAATTCAAGAGGTCAAACCCAGTCTTGGCACACTTCCACTGTATCCAGTAAAGTTATGATTGCTCTGCAGAGAAATTGGCTAAAACTATCTCTAGCTTTATTGGGCTGATCCTCACTGTGATGCTTATGAAATGGAAACTCTTGGTGACGTGAGAGGGTGTCCTGGTTTCAGCTGGGATAGAGTTAGTTTTCTTCTTAGTAGCTGGTAGAGCGCTGTGTTTTGGATTTAGGATGAGAATAATGTTGATAACACACTGATGTTTTGGTTCTTGCTGAGCAGAGTTTACACTAGTCAAGGACTTTTCAGCTTCTTGTGCTCTGCCAGGTGCATAAGAAGCTGGGAGGGAGCATAGCTAGGACAGCTGACCCAAACTGGCCAAAGGGCTATTCCATACCATATGACGTCATGCTCAGTATAGAAGCTGGGGGAAGAAGAAGGAAGGGGGGGACGTTCGACGTGATGGCGTTTGTCTTCCCAAGTAACCGTTACGCGTGATGGAGCCCTGCTTTCCTGGGGATGGCTGAACACCTGCCTGCTGATGGGAAGTAGTGAATGAATTCCTTGCTTTGCTTTGCTTGTGCGCGCAGCTTTTGCTTTACCCATTAAAGTGTCTTTATCTCAACCCATGAGTTTTCTCACTTTTACTCTTCGATTCTCTCCCCCATCCCACCAGGGGGGAGTGAGCGAGCGGCTGTGTGGTGCTTAGTTGCTGGCTGGGGTTAAACTACGACAGAGGGATCAATGCTACTCAGAATTACTTTAGGTAGAAGCAAAACATGATCACGTAACATCAAAATACCTGAAACTAATTTGTTACCTCTTTTTGTATTTTGATGTTAATCTGAAAAGATCTCAGACTCTTTCTGCACGTGAAAGAGTACACTCTTGTGTAACTGCATTTTCTTTTTGCTTGTGTTGTGGGAAAGCAAACGTTTGCAAGCTTTTAAAACTGCATATAGTTTTCACTCTAACAAAATAAATAATTTGAGACATTCGTACAGTTCTAGAACCTGCCCTGTAATCCTGTCTAAATATAGATAAAGACCTTGTGGAATTACCAGAACATGTAAAATGGCTATGATCTATTCTTTCATCCTGAAAGGTTGCTTATTCCCTACTATTCCTAAAATATATGCACTCTGTAGATGTCATTGAGTTTCTTCCTCTCTACCTATAATTGAGTAGTTACAGTAATTTTCCTTTTCTACCACTGCATGTAGTGTTCTGTTCTGGAGCTACATGAAAATTATATGTATGCATGTGTAAATTATATGTAAGTATTTTTTTTCTTTTTTACAGCAGAATGTTTCATAGTTCTGATCCTGTTTTTCTGTCAGTGAGTTTGTTCTGCTAACAAATCTGTCCCTCTGTTCCCTTGTACTCTTGTATTTGTCTTTTTCCCTGCTGCCTCATTCTCACAAAGGCCAATCCATCCTATGGCAACATCTTGTCACCATGTCTTCTTCTCAAGTACTCTGACATTAATCCATACAACTGAAAATGCTTTTCTTGTATTTAAACAAACCATCCTCTAGGTTTAACAACATGAACTAGTTGCTGTTGTAAACTCCTGAACGTAGGGACCACGTTGTGCTTCATTTGGCATGAACTGGTATGGTATTACTGCAGAATTGTTTGTCAATTTCTGGGCATAGCAAAGTAAGGGTAATAGAAGAAAGTTACTGTTACATAGTTAAACGTAGCTTTATAATCTTTACTACAGTAGTTGTGAAAAGTGTTTAGTTAACATCTGTAACAGTGCGTTTTCAGTGTGAGATGCACAACCTGTTTTCTGCCTGCATATGAAGATAATCACTATAACAAGTGCTTCAGATTTCTTCTTTGGAGAGAACAATAAAAGCCCCTCCCGGGCCTATGTACCAGCCGAAAAAACAGTATTTCTACTGGGTGTTAAAACTGTAACTGGTGTTCTTCTTGATGCTTTCTTTTAGTGTCTAGTCAGAGTTTTCTGTGTGCAAACAAAACAGCCTGTTGCCCTATTTTGAAAAGCAAGTGAAAAGGAAAAGCTATAGCTTCAGGAGGTTTTCATCTCTAAGAAATCCCTACATTACAACATCTTCTAGTCTAGACTTGTGCTATTTTATAGACCAAAAATAATCTTTTTCAAAGTTGCATTGGCATGTATGGTTAGAACTCATCCAACCCAACCACTCTGCTACATTAATCAATATTTCAAAATCTCTCTGCTGTAATCTGTAATGCCAAGAGCTGCCGGATATGAACTACAGTCCTTCTTATATCTGTCTGGCTACCTTTAAAAATAAATTGTATGCTTGCAAAGGAGACAAAACAGTAAATATAAAGATATCTGAAAAATGAAACGTACACAACCTTTAGTGAAAAATTACATTTCTTTTGGTCAGAGCAATTAGCACACTCACTCAATGGAATACAAAGCATCCCAACCTACTTTTTAAATGCAGTTGCCAGTTAACTGTTCACAGCTTTGTAGTGGTGGTTTATTAAAAGAAATCCCCAAAGAAAGCTATCGCACTGAAACAAGAACCCAGCCTGAAAGGGGTGATTCTGAATACGGTGAGATCGCTCTGCGTGTCTGCAAAAACTTGTATTACTCCACTACTTAGTTTGCTCCTGTGAGCACACTAAAATCACAGAAAATATACCTTAAACTTTGCAGCAATGAATGAATTCCAAGTTCTGTATTTTAGAATAGAGTTAAAGCAGTGCTTTTGCTACCGGGATAATAGGCAGCTATTTTCATTAAGTAACTGATGAGCGTAATTATGCATTAAAATTCAGTGCTACAGTATATGTAAATAATGGCCTTTTTTCCAGGCTCCCGGATTCTTCTGTTAGTTACTGAAATCACTCCAGTTAATTACAGAAACACCGTGTAAACCCAGACAGCGCCTTGATGCCGTTAACCGGTGGGTGAGAGGAGCGAGGGCCGGTTTGACCTGACAGAAACTCACCGCCGGCTCCGTGCCCACACGAGTGATGGATCCGCGACGCGTTTTCGCTACGCTACCGCCCTTTTAATAATTTAATTGGAGTATTTTGACGTTGTTGTGGAAAATATCCTGTATTTAACCGTAGCGGCAGCAATATTTTCGTCAGTTTGAGATGCCGAGGGTCGCCCGTTCACCGGAGCCGCTGAGAGGCCGGACGGCCTCGCTCCCCCCCCCCCC